ACACATACACACATACATACAAGGTGCTGTTTTTGTATGACTGTTATGAGTTATTGTGTTTGAGAGAGTAAATGTCATGAATAAATTAGACATTAAACATAATCCAAGTTGAAGTGTTACATCATCTTCAGCCCTCTTTTTGGCATCTGTATTTGGTAGAAGGCCAAATTAACAAAGACCATGCAGAATAAATTTAGCATTTTAAGTCCACAGCAGAGAAAGCTATGTAGTTTCTGTAAGTAGGTCTAGGGAAAAAATATTAGTATTGTATCGGTTATTGGCATATCGGATATCGGCCAAAATTCCAATATCATGCATCCCTAATAAAAATCCAAACTTGTCCACATATCGACATACGTTTTGTCCCTATTCGTGTAAATAAAGATCTGTTTAGCTGGACGCCACACATCATGGACCTTATTGGATGACGCAAAGGGAATTAGACGTCACTTCAAAGATGAGGGCAGTTGTTGGGCCAGTCGCTCATATTCGTTATAATTGTTTAAAAAAAATAGAAATTGTTTTAACGTTTGTGCCGGATGATTTGCAGCTCGACATGGAGACCATCCCTCACCATCTTCACGTGCTCATTTGGCCCACCTGCCCTCCCAAAAACGCCCTCCTCCTCCTTTTCCCAGTATGAGCTTTCCTGCAGCCTAATAGTTTCTTTTGAAATCGTTGCCTTTTCAGCGAGAGTTTGCTTTGATGTATTGGAGTTGATGATATTTGCACTTGAAATGTTCTTGCTCATGTAAAGAAATGTCTGGAGTATTTTTTTTTTTTGTATTGTCTTTTTAAATGAATGGAAATGGTGTTCTTGTTTTCTTGTAGCTTGTTTGTTCATGCAATGCTCACCCACTGTTTTAGTCTACAGAGATGATACACATTATCAACTGTAAAAACATTGAAAACGGGGGAAAAAAACATGTACAGAGGTGAACAAAACTATTCTGTATTTGTTACTGCCCGAGACACTTATCAGAAATAAATATACTGTACTTCAGCTTCATTTTCAACACATTTAATGTCTTTACATACACGTAACTGGAGCAAATACATATCACAGTGCATTATTAAAGGTCGATTTTTAACAGTATTATGTTCAAGGCCATGCTTAGCTCAAATGATTGTTGGTTCTCAGTTATAGCTGTTGAGGATTTACTGCAGGTTGGACTGAATCATGCAGGAACGCACTTTAGGTAGCCGCTAGCCTCTCCCATTGTACCATCCTCTCACACGGTAAGATGCTGAAAAAACAGAAGGTGTAACGCTTTACTGTAGCGTATTGTGGAAATTAGGTCATTAACTGGAAAAAGAGATTACTTACAGGCTTGAGGCTGGCGTTGAAGCTGACACGAGGGGAGTTTAGGCTCCCACTGACCTTCATCATTGCAGATGATGAATTTTGATCCACTGAGCTTAAAGCCACGCCTACACTCGAAGGAATCGATGGTGTCTCGTGGACGGTATGTTTGTCTGTGGGCGTTAACCCAGAAGGCGTTGGGAATATTTGGGGAGGGACATGTGACATCTGTGAAAACACATATCACTTTTACTTTAGTTGTCGTAAATACAGTACAAAATAAATACAACTGGATACTGTGGGCTGTGCTAAGTGCTCACAGACTTTTCTGTTCTATTTTGGTGCCTTAAAAGCTGGAATTTATACAGGAGGCATTTCATTTAATTACAAGCAATAATGGAACTTGTTTGTGTCAACTGCTGTAAAAGCCTCCAGAATCAGCACCTTTAGTAGAAGTAGTACCAGTAATAACGTGCAACTCGCAGTGAAGCATGGTGGTGGCAGCATCATGATCAGTGTTTCTCATCATTATTTCCCACGGAAAATAAGCCAATTATTTTTGTTTTATATATAATGTTAGATCCCAACAGAAGTCATTAAAAGTTATATTTCCTATAGAGTAGGTCAGAACCTTGTCTTAAGCTTTTGTTATTTATCACATTTACACAGCAGCCGTTCGTTTCTGTCTCTACCTGGTTGTGCGTTTACAACTCTTCCATGCTCCATATTGTGCACAGCGGAGTTCTGCCCATGTGCATACACACAAACACAAAGATGTGCGCGTGCACACACATAAGTGAGCACTCTCCCACAGTGGACAGAGACCGTGCATCAGTAAATGTGCTGTATCAACCCTCATGACAAAGAGATTGAAATCTCCTGCTGCTCGTCCTGGTCCACAGGACAGACAAGACGGATAAACTCTTAATATGTAGAGAATGAACGGGGTTATTTTACACTTCTTTTTAGTTTTAGGAATGTTCTGTCATATATGTTAGCAGCAAAAGCAATAAGTTGTTAGAGGAAAACCAGACCTGGCTAATTAACCTTTTCAGAACAAGACAGCTGGCAACTGTCCTCAAAAATACAAAGACTTTGGTGTCCTGTTCCCAACTATGAGCTGCTGACTTTCATTTCCCTGCAGGTCCCAGTCAGCAGTGTAAACAGAGAGACTTCTCAACTATGAAAATGGTAATAAATACTTTTCACAGTAGGATTTGCTGCTTTAAGCTGAGCTACCACTTTTAGAGCCTAAAAGTAAAAGCAACATTTCTAGTTTAAGGAGAAATAGTTCAAATGTCCTGGAATGAAGCATTTAGAGCCCAGGCCTTAATTCTGTCAGAGAATCTCTGGTTTGACGTAAAGATAGCTGTATAATAGTGGCGCTCATCCAACCTGAAGGAGCTGGAGAAGTTTGACCAGGAAGGGTAGCCAAATTTTCCAGTGATTAGTTGCAACAAACTCATGGACACGTACTTAAAGAGGCTGTACGTGAAGTTTTTTATAGACGTATTACAATGAAATTAAAAATCTAATTAAATTCCAGGTTAGAATGTAAGAAAAAACAGAAGTGGGGTGAGTATATTTGTGACCCGCTGTTGTGGTAAGAAGTAACGTGTTAAAAGACCTCTGCACTGTGGAGGAGAGCTGCTCCACGTCCCATCCTTGGTACACCATATCTCCCGCTCTCCAACGAGGGTCTTTTCTCGACAGTCGTAGCGAATCACACTCCTGTAGGTGTACGGCGGCTCCTGGAAGGTTTTCCTTTCTGCATCCGTCTTTTCTGGCTCTTCACACTCCACAGCTGCAGGTCAGACCATAACTTAAAGATGACTGAAGACACCGCGCAGTAGGAATGCACAAGTGTGACGACTCGGCGCACCTTCACAAACAGGAACACGTCCATCCCAGCCGTTGCTCGTACAGCGTCTGATGCCTCGTCCTACAAGCGTGTACCTATCAACAAGACAAATGTGAAGTCACATTTTGCAGTGAGTAACATTTATAAAGTGTAACTTTATATTTGAGCTGTTTTACCCGTCGTCACACACAGCTGTAGCTGTAGCTCCAAACACTATGCCTCCTGAATATTCAAACTGTCCGTTCAGAATCTGTCCTGGATGACCACAACTTTTCGCTTTGGATACAAAAAAAATAAATAAAAAATAGCATGAGTTATACAAACATTTGTGTTTATGTTCAGTGGAATGGAAAGAGAAATATGCTTGTTGGCTTCTCTTGTCCTTTTAAGTACTGGACTGAAAACTGCTCACATACATTACCTAAATATTTGTCTTTTTTTTTTTTTTATTGGTGTCAGAGGAGAAGACAGTTTGATATGAAAGCTCTGCAATGCTGCATTAAAGAAAGATAAATTCAAGTCCCTAAATTTTAATATTTTGTTTTATTTGTTTGTGAAAATGAAAAGCTGCATGTGTTGCAGAATGTAAACGTTCTTACCTTCACATTTCAGAGTCAGTGGCGTCCATTTTCCATCGCTGCATACACGAGACCTGCTGCCTCCCTCTGTAGCATATCCAGCATTACATTTGTAGTAGACTTTGGCACCAGAGGGAAATGATGTCATTGTGATGTACTTGTTGGAGAGGTGCACATTGGAGTGGCTGACGGGTGGTGGTGGTGGTGCTCCACATCCATCTTCTGAGCAGATTTCACAGAGAGGACAGTTTAGAAAGACAGAAAACTGTTCGTATGTTGAGGTTTGATCTGGGAAACGAACTCACTTGCTACGATTGACAACAGTTGGAATTTAACCAGACGGTGAAGACACTGAGGGGGCTGAGGCTGCCACTGACCGTTGGCCCCACAGGTGATCAGAGAGGCTCCGTTCAGCTGGAAACCCTGCTTACAGGTGACGTTGACGCTGACTCCCACATGGTGCACCGGAGTCTCGCTTTGTGGCTCGGAGTTTGCCACTGCCGGGGGGCTGCAGGTGGTCTCAGCCTCTGATCAGATAACAATATGAGCTCTTAGAGTTATATTTCCTCACAAAGAGGGAAGAACAAATATGTCTTCCCCGGAACTACATTTACATCTATTTACATTATTAATTGATGACATGAACTCTGCTTGGAACTATTTTCATAATAACAAAGTCCATGCTCAATAATCCAGGTATACAATCCAACATTTTTCAGTCAGGTCATCTGGACAGTTTATTTTTTTGTGATGAAACATTTTGCCTTCGATCCAGAAGGCTTCATCAGTGAAGGAAACGCACAACAAAACTGATTCTTCCCCCTAACAGCTTACTCCAAAGTGAAACAAACCAGTTCTGCTTGTGATAAGATGGTCTCTTTAGTACGCCCCCTCCTTCATTGCCAGCCCTCTTCCTTGTTGACAGTCTTGTCAAACTGGTTGAAAACAACAAAGTCCATGCTCTGTTGCAAAGTCCATGAAAAATGTTGATAGATGAAGCTCTTGTCCTTGGGTACTCATGTCCCAGGAGAAATTTGATAGTCAGCCCGTCTCCGAGGCCATTGGGAGTCAGATTAGATAAGCTTAATTTTTGTTTTTCTTCAGGCAGACAGATTTTTTCTTCAGCCTTGAGTCCATCTGGGCGTTCTGGTTCCGAAAAAGCCTAATTGTGGAATTTCATTTCACTGATCCATGCTATGAGTCTCCTTCAAGGTTGAACCCACCACGCTGACGAGTCCCAGAAGCCGCAGGTGGTCTGCGATTCTCAATCGCCTCCACCTTACAGTTAAGCTCGTAGACCAGACGATTTAAAGTTCCCACAGCGAGGACCAGACCTTCACACTGACTCGGACGCTTTTCCATGGCCAAAACTGCTCCCGCTGTCTTCTTCAAAAGTCGATAAAACAGAGCCCCACCGATGCCAAAAAGCAGAGTCCCTGCTATCATAAGTCCAAATATGTAAACGTCTTCAACATCCTTCTGAGACAAAACTGAGAGGCACATCAGCTGCCACACTCCCCACGAATCCATGACGTACCCCACAGCCTGAGTCTCAGCTGGACACTCCGGTTCCCCAGGACCTTGTCGCTTTGATGAAAAAAATCTTATCAATAGAGTTGAACGCCCACGATATCAAATCCATAATCTTCTTAATTTATGTTCGGGAGATGAGACCCAGGCGCTTCAGACAGACAGAGAGCAGAGCAGGAAGAAGGAAAAAAAAAAACGAGGGAGGAGAAACAGAAGCTGCGACCTCGATCAGAGCCTGGGAGGAAAAAGGAAAATGGTGTCCCCATTGAGTTTGTTGATTCCTATAAATATTTGGGTATCTTGGTCGACTCACATCTTTCTTTTAAGCTCCATGTGGAAAACTTGGTAAAGAAACTAAAAGTTAAACTATGTTTCTTTTTCAGAAACAGATCCTGTCTAACCCTGAATGCTAGAAAACGCCTTGTATCTGTGACTTTCCTTCCCTCCAATGATTTCGGTGACATTATTTACATGAACGCTCCTACAAGAACCTGCAGATGTTGGATGCTGTCTATCAAGGTGCACTAAGATTCATAACTGACTGTGATTATCGTACCCACCACTGCACCCTGTATTCACTGGTTAACTGGACATCATTAACTTCACGCAGACTCTCTCACTGGTACATTTTCATCTTTAAATCACTTCTTGGTCTGCTGCCTTCATACATCTCCTCCTACATGTCTCTGCGTGAGTGCAGCTACAGCGTGCGCTCTCAGGACATTATTACCTGCAGTGTTCCCTCAGTGAGGACTGAACTAGGCAAAAGGACCTTCTCCTACTCTGCTCCTGTTTCCTGGAATATCTTACAAAAAGATTTGAAGCTCTCGACCTTGACCTCTCTAAGTGGCTTTAAGAATCTGTTGGACTCCTGGCAGGGGCCAATGCAGACATGTTCCTGTTTTTAGTTTTCTACATTCGCCTTAGAATCTAGCTGTTTTTATGTTGCTTTTCTTTTTTTAGCCATCCTATTTGTTAAAAAAATAAAAATAAATCTGTATGACTTTTTGTGACTGTTTGTTGTTGTTGCTGTTGTCCATTGTTGTCATCTTTCTTTGTTGAAATCAGGTCTCTCTTGTAAATGAGTCCTCGAGGCTCAATGGGATTTACCTGTCTAAATAAAAGGTTGAATGAAAAAACATCACCACCAGTTTCCCAATACGCAGAATTCAATAGTTCAGTAATTCCCAACCCTGGTCCTTGAGGAACACCATCCTACATGTTTTACTTGTTTCCCTGTTCCAACACACCTGATTCAGTGATTTAATTACTTCATCAAGTTCTGCAGGAGGCTGCTAATCACTCATTTATTCAAATCAGGTGTGTCAAAGCAGGGAAACAAGTAAAACATGCAGGATGGTGTTCCTCAAGGACCAGAGTTGGGCACCATTGCAATAGTTAGCTGCAAGAACAAATGGCAGCAGCAGCTGCTTGTAGCACTTCCTGTGCCTACTAGGACTCTTCCAACAGGAACACTGTCATTTTTCTACTAAAATAACGTAGAAAAGTGACCCTGACAGTGAGGTAAAGACCAATAAATAGTGTTGGCATAAGGTGTAGTAACATTTTTGTGACAGAAGTTGTTTTGAAATGGTAGCAGTCTACTTAGGTCTCACACTAGCTGTTAGCTCATTAGCTCTGTAGAACTTGTGCTGCATTCTGTTTACCTTGGATCTTGGCTCTGGGAATGTAGTCAGACCCAACTTTACATCCAGATGCAACTCAGAAAATAACTAGAATTTGTCAAAAGTTATGCTCAATGACTAGCTACCGTTAGCAATCCAAGTTCATAATGGTGTTTGAACGTGTGCAGCAAAACGCTGTAGCAACATGTTTACTGAGGTTGTGCTGGACTTTGGTTGTGCCTGGATTACTGAGATACAATCCAACACAACTGTTTTTATTTATTTTCTGGCAGCCATCACAACTGTGTGACCCAACCATATTGGAGGTTAAGGTTGGGGCTGGTAGGAGTCCTCCACTTTCCAAATTAGGGTTCCAACTTTCTGAGGTATTTAAGATATTGCCATCATAGAACTTGGACAATTCCCTAGTACAACTTGAACACATCATTAAACTCTTGTTTCTCCAAACAGAAGCTATTCACGCATCTACAACAGGTAAGATGTTAACTGTTCATAAGCTGTCTACAGACCCCCAATTCACATACATTAAAATTAGACATAAAAAGTTAATCTGGAAGGTGAAGCAACACGAGCGCCCCAAGTGGACCAGCTGAATAAAAATGTAACCATTAATCATAATATTTTCCAGGCGTTGATGTCACTAACATTTTGTGGCGCTTACCTTGCTGTTGTATTTTGACATATTTAAATGACTTACGTATTTAGGGTGTATTTTGTTATTTCATGCTTAAAAAATGTGTTTGTGGGTGAGTAGGCGAGGCCAAAACTCCATAATTACATGTCAGCTCCTGAAAACAGAACTTTATGAGTCACTTTAACAGAAGCAGACAGAGATGCTTCTTTCATCATTAATATATGTTGATGTTCAAAACAGCCAAAATAGCCCTTTAAATATGATTACAAACATAAAATAATGTAATTTGAAAGGATTCCAACACAGCACAAGCCACAAAATTCAGCTGTTGTTGTCCCAGCTTTGCTGTGTTCAGTTCTTCAACACCTTTGAAGAACATGTTTACATTCCTCAAAAACCTGTAAAAACTAGAAAAATATAAGATCAGAACTGATATTTTAAAAAAAATTCAAGCATGAGTCATAAACGTGCAGCGAATGCACGCACTAGGTGTGCAGTTAGATTAAAAAAACAACCACCTGTGTCAAGGAACCTGGAAATCTTTTTGCACAATTTCATTACTCAGACGGGAAAAAACTGAAAGATTAGAGGGATTAAGTTAAATGTCTTTACATCACGTTCAGGCTTCACCCGTTTCTAATAACACCACCCACATACAGCTGCAGAGTGAGAGGTAAACATGTTGCTGCTCACTTTCACAAGACGGAAACTCCCCGCTCCATCCGCTCCTGTTACACACCATGTAGTCCAGTCCCTTCAGAGCGTATCTGTCCACACGGACACGCGGTCAAACACACAGCCAGCGATTGGGTCTCAGCTCTGACACGAGTTCTGTCAGGAGAGGCTCACCCCTCGTTGCAAACTGCGTGGAGTTTCTCCCCGATGTACGTTTCCTTTTCGTACAGGAACTTCCCGTTGGGTAGCTCCCCGGCGTTCCCACAAAATATCTCTGTCAGGAGTTAGAAGAGAAGAAACGAACTGAACGCTGACAATAAAATACAAAACATATCACACATCGTATGCTGGTTTTGCCTTTTGTCTTTGTGTGAGAATTTGTCTGTTAGCAAAATATCTTGTGAACCACTGGATTTTAATGAAACTTGCAGACGGTAATCATTGGATCAACACCTACAGCTGACTAGCTGTTAGTCTAGCTGATTCAAGATGGCCGCCAGGGCCAGCTGACCTTAAAAACAGAAACATGGACTCTAACTTAGTCGTTTTGAACCCTGTTGACCAAGGATTTGTTATGATGGTAGCTGAGACTGAACCCCAACAGTTATTATCAGCACTAACAGACTGAACATATTTGTTTAAACTTTTACTACTATTTGAATGAACGCTGTCTGTTAGCAAAATATCTCATGAGCCACTATATGGATTTTATTAAAACTCTCAGGAAGTAATCCCTGCATGTGTGTCCACAGTCGTTTATCTTTTGGAGTCAGTTGAATATGAGATGGCCGCCAGAGCTAATTGACTTTAGCCAACACACGAATGACAATAACTCAGTCAGTTTTACAATTACTAAGCTGAAGTTTGATGAAAATGTAGCTGATAGTCGCTTACAACACAAACTCTGAGCGCGACTTTTAATCAACATATAACGTTGTGCATAAACATGTTTTCAAGGTTGAGTTATAACGCTGTTATTTTTTAACATGAGATTACTTCAATTAAATATGTTTTAACTGTAGCGGGTGGTATGCATTTCTTCAAGGAACGTTCTGTCTTTATTTTCAAATACAGCTGGAAGTGACTGAGAATTCAAATTAGATGTAATTTTATTAGAATATGACTCTCCCATCTTTTAAAGAAAAAAATTAGGAGGAACTTCCACAGAAGTGATGTAACTTATAAAAAAATAAATAAATAAATAAAAAAATGAAACTACTACTCTGATGTAGTAAAAGTATTAACATGATATTTAAAAAAAAATAAAAAAAATGAAAGAAATATTCTTCTTTTTTTAAGATCTGGCTATAAATGTAGAAAAGTGTTTTTTATTTTTATTTATTTATTTTTTACTAAATGTAAACTTCGCTCACTTTTCAGCTAATTACAACAGACAGTTTATCAAAAGGTTTGACAACAATTGTAACAAAATGTTTGAAAGGAAGTATTATGGTCTAATTCACATTATAAAGGTCGTAAAATTAATAATAATTAAATTAATAATAATGTATTTTATTTGCATAGCGTTTTTCTAAATACTCAAAGACACTATTATTATTATTATCATCATCATCATCATCATCATTATATTTCAGTTGCAGAATGTGTTTTTAAGATCACACAACAAGAACTCCTTCAGTGTAAATATAAGCACAAATTATATTTTTAAAACATGAAGGCTTTAATACAAGATAATTTAGTTTACAGATCATACGTCTTGATTTATTAATGTTGATATATTTGTATCAGTTGTTTAACTTTTCACTGCTTTCAAAACTTCTCGTTTTTTAATTTTAATGTCTAATTTCGCATGCGACATATCTCCATGTGGCCGCTAGAGGGCGCCAGAGTACACGCAGGTTGTTTTTAATCATGTTTTCGATGCTCTAATAATAAACGTTGAATCGTTTTTGAGCGTGGACTTTGTTGAATCGTTGTATTTTCGTGCACCAAGAAGTGAGAGCGTCTTACTTGCACATGTCAGAGTCAGTTTACTCCATTTTCCGTCCAGACACCGTGAGGACCTGATCCCCCCGGACGGGGTGAAGTCCTGGGCGCAGTTGTAGTAAACCTTGTCGCCGCTGTCGAAGCTCTGCTTGGAGGTGAACCTCTGCAGCAGCTCGGTGCGAGGGTACTGCGGCGGTGAGGAACACCTCTGAGCTCCCTGAGCTGTTTGTTGTGGGACATTTATCCGGAAACATCAGTCAGAACGACAGGAACACAAATAAACGCATAGACAAAGTGAATCGCATTCAGCTGAGATTTACCTGCAGCGAGTAAAGTGAAGGGCAGGAGCAGAAGCGCTGCTGAGTCAGTCTTCATGTTTGTGCTCGGAAGCTTCAAATGGCAGCAGGAGGACCAGATGGAGCCATTTATGGACTGGCACAGCCCCGAGGAACAGCTGGGAGGGAAAACTTTCAGGAACAGGATGAAGGCTGCTAAACTAAGTGAACAAATTCATTTAGTTATACCAGACCAGCAATGTTTGTGTTCACATGGAAGCTGAATTAAACCTTTTTTCTGCTTGGAACAATCAGAAGAGATCCTCTCACAGACCTTAAAGTGGGGCTCTGTGGAACATTTGTGAACAATCACTATCTTACCTGTTGTGGATGGTGCTTTAGAAAGCCTCAGTTTGAACGGCTGGGTTGAACTTGACTTTGATCTTGATCAATTATGTCTAAAGTTTCATATTAGACGGTGTATGTTGCCCGCTGCTAAATGGTTTGTGTTTGTTTAGGAGCTCTTTGTATTTAATGTTAGCAAAATATGTCATGAACCACGAGACGGATTGGAGTAAAACCCTCATTGGATGTACCTCAACAACTGATTTGCTTCTGGGTGGCCACAACATTTAATCAAACTGCAAATGTATAAACAACTAAAAATAGTCAAATTGTATAGCTGTTGAGCTACAGTGAGCGTGGTGGGAGCTGAGTGGTAGCAGCTGTCTGTCTGTTAGCAAAATATTAACTGCAAATGAAACGGTCAGGAATTAATCATTTGATGAGCATCAACTTTTTGAGTCGACCCAATTCAAGATGGCTGCCAAAACTTACCAACTTTGACCAAGACAAAAATGGTTGTATCTCCGTGCTACAGCTAGCTGCTGCTGCCACTGTTTGTGCTCACAATGAGCTGTATACATCTACTCAGAACAGTATTTAATGAAAAGTTGAAGGCATGTACAAGTTAAAAAAAGAGACAAGTTTCAGACCAAGGTTTAAAGACTACGTCCACTTTGGTGTTGGCTGTTCCGACTAGTCGTTAGCTCATCAGTTATGTCAGGTTTTGGTCCTGCCTACAGGACTATAGCTATGTTTTTAAAGATCCCCCCACACCCCCAATGATTTTTCTTTCGTCATCCAAACAACATCCCTAACCAGGAAAAAAAAAAGAAAAATCACTGGTGCTGCTGATTATCCATGCTGCTGATTATCCATGCTGCTGATCTCTTGCCTTTACGCTGTTGTATTCATACCCAACTGCTCACTAAAGACTCATGTTCGGGCTGCTGTTTAATATACCGTATTATTTTACATTATTAGTGTTTAGCGTATATCTTAGATCTTTTAGCGTGTCGTTTAACGTTCGTTAGGGTATCTTCTGTTTCTTTCATACTTTATATTATTGCTATTTTTGGGTTACAAACAAACAAATAAACAAACCTGTTTATCAACTTAGCAAATTAAAAATGAAGCGGTCCTGTGACCTGACACGTCGTGACCCAAACCAGCTGATGTTGACAACGTCAGAGACATGGAGTGAAACACTAAAACTGGACTTTGTTCTTTATTTTGCTCCTAACAAAAGAAGAACTCAGATCTAGAGCTGTGAAATCACTGGAGCTTGAGTGAATAATGTGGAAATTATTCAGATTTTTTTTTATTATCAGACATCACTCATTCAAGGATGATCAAAATGACTCATATCAAGTTCTCAGAAATGCTGATTTTTTATTTTTATTTTTTGCTCCATTTCCTTGATGACTCTGTAGCTAAATAAATGATTTCCATTTAAAGAAAGTTACAATAAATGCTTCAGTTAAATTTTATTTATTTTAGTAACGCCTGCTCTTTTTAATTAGAAACTAATTTAAAGGGGGAAAAAAAGACTTTTTTTAATTGCTGTTACAAACTCCACATGTAAATGTTGCATCACTGAAACCTCTGACACAAAAATGACACTTTCACGTGATTTAAATTATATTTATCATAGTCCTTAAAATAGATTATTGTTCAGTTGCCAAAAATACAACAAAAAAAACCCCATCTGTCTGAGTCTGAAGTTTAGGACTACTCCCAATGAGCTCACGCAGTTTACACTAATAAAGATCTTTTCTGGTCCAAATGATTTAAATTACAGCTGAAAAACAAGAAGTCGGTACAAAAGTTATGTAAAATTCCTTTTATTCAATAAAATGAGTGCAGAAAAAGAACAAAGCTTTTATTATGAACAGCTGTTTTAACATTTATATTATTCTAAAGAAATAAGTTAGCAAATCATATATTTTTAAATACTGATTAAAAGGCACTTTTTTCTTTTTCCAAATTACTAATTTAATCCAAACTTACAAACCATCAAGATCAATAAAACTCCAGGATTATAGAACAGTTCAGCCTTTTCTCAAATCGTTGTGCTGTAGTTTAAATATATTAGCGTCACGGAAATTCTTTGAAAATGTGGACTTCAGTAAAATTGTTTAAAATTTTTCCAACAGAGCATAAAGGAAAATAAACGCACAAAATAATAGAACGTCAGAATAAAGCAGCTCCTGTACTTCTTTTATGAGGCGAGACAAAAGATCTTATAACTTTTTACAGCTTTGGTCAACGTGCTTCTAAAGAAGCAATTTTATATTCTTAAATTACCGTAAAAAATAAAATAACTTCACCCCGTCAGATTACCAGAGGAAGGATACGCATTGCCTGGAAATGTTTACAAAGGAGAGCTAAAAATAAAAACATCTTGAGGAAAATCACAGCTTCCTCCAAGAGAAGTTGGAACTGAAGGTAATTCTTTGATACGAGGTTGAAAAAGTGAAAAGAAAAGAAATATAAACTTTCTGATGGTAAAAGTTGAACTCTTTTTACTACAAATCATTCGTGTATGATAAGAAAAATAAATAAAAGGTGCTGAACTTCCACCCACAATAACACACACGGTGAGTTCTGATGGAGAACGGAGCGACCGGATGTTACTGCTGGTCTGCAGAACCACAAACAGACTTTAAATGGCAACACGGAGGAGGGAAAACACTGATGTTCTATCTTAGATAAGGCAGGCATCTTTATGTGCCGTTCTCCAGCTTCTCCTTATCCTCAGTTTTCGATGCTCTGAAACTGTTCGGTGAGTCCTGCCAGATGGGGGACAAAAACATAGAAAGTGGACCGGGTTCTCAAAAACCAAAACAGGACTGAGGAATTTGTTTGGAATGGCACAGACAGCTAATAGTGAGCTCTGAGGTTGGAAAGCAGAGCGCTTCCTGGTTTAAAAGTGCACTCGTGTAAATAAAGAGTCCTTTGTGGACAGCAGCTCAGGGAAAAGTTTAGGAAAAACCTGGGACATCTGTCCCAGCAGAAATAACTTCAATCTTAAAGTACTGGTACTTTGAACTACGTATGGTCTGAAAATGGACCAGGGGTGCCCACACTTTTTCAGCATGTGAGCTACTTTTAAAATGACCAAGTCAAAGTGATCTACCTGCTACAAGACCTCGTTTACACAGAGCCACCTCTGGAAACGTTAGTGTTTTTTCAATGTTTATTGGAGTTAATATACAAACAAAGAGCAGGTTTACATGAAAACGCTGTAGTTTCTATGTCAGTCGGGTTGCCAGATAAGAAATTATGAACTATAGTACTGTGGCTTTAAAATTATAGTACTTTGACCTAAACTTTCATATGTGCTGAGTGAAGATATTCTAAGATGAGGTGTGTGTTGTGTTTGTTGAACATGTGGGAGGGGGTAAATAAGACGTTTAAGATTTGTCTGGCAACCCTGACTCAGCTGCATTCATTGAACGTGCAGCATCTGCATGACAGTTAGTCCAAACTGGTGACTACACCAACGAGACGTTTGGACCTGACTTTATTAGTTTTGTTCATGCTGAAAAAGAGTGAGCAGCACAGAAACACTCTGCTTTCTGTCATTTACTATAACTGTTGTTAGAGCAGAACAACTTTGGACTGCAGCCACCTGTTGTGCACATGTGCGACTTCACATACGGAGAATTTCACACCTTCGTGACTGGCTGCCCTGTATGTCAATCAAGTGACAAATTTCATAGTGAAGATGGATGATAGGCTGACGTCTATTTTTTTTAATGCCATGTGATCTACCCATAATGCCTTTGCGATTGACTGGTAGATCACAATCGACGTATTGGGCAGTGGGCACCCCTGTATTACACTATTGCTGTTGGCTCCACAAAGTAAACTGCTCCTTAAAACAAATATTATATTGTAGTTCACAACACTCCATTCATCCCTCCAAGCATGGCCTGAGACGTCTTCTTGCTGCCTCAGAGTGATTTACAAAAACATCAAAACAGCTTGAGAAGGTTCAAGTCAACCCTCTGCTGTTACTCCTCTGAGCCATTAAGTGTGGCGGTGACAGAGCTGTAACTGTTGACATACAAAAGGGTAAGTCAGAGCTGAGATGTAGAGATGACTGACAGTCCACCCGGCCGCAGGGTTTAAAATGAGAGAAGTCCAGCACACAGATTCATTTCAATAGTGATATGAATGAGATAAAGATATTTACTGGTAATTTATTCAGTATTATTATTACCCAATCTGTTGAACTCTAAAATAATATTACAAATATTGTATCTACAATCTGACTCATACTGTGAATTGCTTCAACCTTTGATAAAACTTAGACTTTTTCCTCACTTGTCAGTGACACTGACCTCGGTGTGTTGGGGCTCAACTCCCTCGAACAGATCAGAGATCGGCATGCTGGGATTAGTGGCGTTATGGTACATGTTGAATTGTGAAAAATTCCCCATGCTGTACAGACGAGGTCGTTTGATCTGGTCTTGGGTTGACAGAGGGTCAAAACTGTTCCTGCGAAGGAAAGGTGGTGGCATGGCCTTCGGTCGGACTTTATTCTGTTGAGAGAAGAAAAAACACACATCGTGAGTTGATGAGCAAACCTTACTGGTTCACTAACCTTTCTTAGTGAGAAAATGCTGTAACAAACCAGTAACTGTGATGAAGCAAAGAAGCCAAAACAGCTGCGGAAACCAACACCCAGAATTAGAAAAGCTATTGTAATGTTGGTCTCAGCAGAGAGGATATTCTTCACTGCAATTAACACGAGGTTTTCCAGTAAAAGTGTCTGAGTGAACACCCTCTCTGTCTGAAGCTCAAACACTTGTAAGCTAATCAGCTCCAACTCTGCAGGAAAGGAGCAGTTCTACAGATCGCTTATTGGAAATGAAGACAAAGGGCAGTCGGAGTGACTTTCAACAACTCAACAACAAGAGGATTTTGTTTAATTAGCTAGTCCTCACCAGTACAAATCCAGTCTAACCAAATGCAGTCCTTCAATTAAAGCTGAATTGTTCTTTTCTATCTTTCTACGCCTAGTACTTCCTGGATAAAAGTTAAAGATAAAAAAGATAGAAGTTATCATCCCTGTTCCCAAGAAATCAACCAATGACAGTAAATGATTACAGGCCTCACACCAGTAATCATGAAGAGCTCCCCACAGACTTGGACCAGCACCAGTTTGTCTATGGATGGTGCATATCTACAGAAGATGCTACTGGTCTTCAAGCTGCACTCAGCCAACTGGAGTTCAGTTCATAGTTGGGACTATGAAACAAGAGTGACGCCTCTCAACACATGCAACTTCTCGTCCAAGTACACCAGATCAAATGTATGGATCAATAATATTTAGAGAACTTGAATAATTTACCCTTACTGTATAATCAATCTCAACACTTGAGGGCAAAATCAGTTGAATTATAGGGAATTTTCAATCCTGAGTTTTCGTAGAGACTAAATTTGCCTTTTGAGAGTGTATTACAAATCAGCCAAAAAACAAAGAAAGTTCAATTAACACTGACAAGTTGGTAATGATTATCTGAATATTGGCACTAAGTATTCTAAATGATGTGAACCTGATTTGAGTTATATTTCTTCAACGAAGATTAAACAAGAAAATACTCCTAAGCAATAATTAATAGTTTGACGACACAAAGAAAGACTTAAACTATGTTTTCTCCCTAAAATAAAACTTGTCCAGATGACATGATTGAACCTTTTTGTTCTTTGAGCAGGATGTTTTCATTAAGAACTACGTTTAAGGGCAGCATGGTGGATCTGTTGGTAAAATTGTTGCCTCTCAGAGTGAAGGTCGCCGGATCAAATTCTGGCCGGGACCTTTCTGGATGCAGTTTGCATGTTCTCTTTGTGCACGCGTGGGTTTTCTCCGGGTGCTCCGGTTTCCTCCCACAGACCAAAAACATGCATGTTAGACTGATTGGTAACTCTAAATTATTCCAAGGTGTGAGTGAGAGAGTGAATAGTTGTTTGTCTCGTTTGTCTCTGTGCGTCCCTGTGATGGACTGGAGACCTGTCCAGAAGAGACTCCGCCTCTCACACAGTGACTGCTGCATATGGACATTATTGACCCCATGACCCGAAAAGGTAGAAGTGAAGTAAACATAATGGATGGATGGATGGATGGATGGATGGATGGATGGATGGATGGATGGACCAATGCTTAGGATTATACTCCTCACATTTCACATCTGCACCTGGAGAAAAACTTTCTGATGGACCGCTCACTGAGTGTGAAACCTATACCTTATTCTTGTTGACCTGTGAAAAATTCTACTGTGGTTGAGCACCTTTATCTACAGCAAATAAAGTTTGAAACAGAAGCAGGTGCAAAAATATGCTCAATATAAATGGAGTCCAGACAGACAGTTTACAGCAGTTCTGCAACTTTTGCCAGTTTAATGACTGAGCTAGGCAAAGACAATCTTATTTTTCTTCTTTCAGCTTTTCCTTCTTCAGAGGTCTCCACAGCGAGTCATCCTCCTCCATCTCACTTTGTCCTCTGCATTCACTGTCCTCACTCCAACTACCTCCATGTCCTCTCTAACTGCATCCATATATCTCCTATTTGTCTTTTTCCTGGCAGCTGCATTTCTAACATCCTTCTACCAATATACCCACTGTCTCTCCTCTGGACATGTCCAAACCATCTCAGTCTGGCCTCTCTAACTTTATCTCCCAGTTGTTCAACCTGTGCTGTACCTCTGATGATCTCATTCCTAATCTTATCCATCCTTGTCACTCCTAAGGAGAACCTCTACATCTTCATTTCTGACACTTCCAGTTCTGTCTCCTGCCTTTTTGTCCATGTCTCTGTCTCCAGACCATACAACATAGCTGGTCTCACAACTGTCTTGTAAACTTTTCCTTTGACCTTTGCTGACACCCTTTTGTCGCAAATCACTCCTGAAACTTTTCTCCATCCACTCCATCCTGCCTGGACTCTCTTCACCTCTTTACCACACCCCATTTTCCTGGACAGTGGACCCCAAGTACTTGAAGTCCTGCACCTTTGTGACCTCTGCTCCTTGTAGCCTCACTGTTCCACCAGCCTCCCTCTCATTCACCCACATGTACTCTGTCTTACTACGGCTGACTTTCGTTCCTCTTCTTTCAGGTGCATACCTCCACCTCTTCAAGTTCTCTTCCACCTGTTCCCTGTTCTCACCACAGATCACAATGTCATCTACAAACATCATAGTCCATGGGGATTCCTGCCTGACCTCATCTGTTAGTTGGTCCATCACCAGAGCAAACAAGAAGGGGCTCAGAGCTGCTCCTTGATGCACTCCCACCTCCAACTTGAAGCTGTCTGTCACTCCTACAGCACATCTCACCACTGTTCTGCTGTCCTCATACATGTCCTGTACCAGTCTAACATATTTCTCTACCACTCTGGATTTCCTCATACAATACCACACCTCCTCCCTGAGCACCCTGTCATTTGCTTTGTCTAAATCCACAAAGACACGATAAGTTCTTTCTGACCTTCTCTGTACTTCCCGAGCAGCATCCTCAAAGCAAAGATGGCATCTGTGCTGCTCTTTCTTGGCATAAAACCATACTGCTGCTCAAAAATAGTCACCTCTCGTCTAAGTCTTGCTTCCACAACTCTCTCCCAGATCTTCTTCGTGTGGCTCATCAACTTAATTCCCCTGTAGTTGCTACAACTCTGTACATCACCCTTGTTCTTAAAAATGGACACCAGCACACTTCTTCTTTATTCCTGAGGCATTTTGTCACCAAGAAATATGCCATTGAATATTTGAGTCAAAAACCTCCCTGCCATCTCTCCAAGACATTTCCAAACCCTCACTGGTATGTCATCAGGTCCTACTGCCTTCCCCTTCTTCATTCATGTTGGGGCAGCTGTGGATGAGTGGTTAGAGCAGTCGTCCTCCAATGAGAGAGTTGGGGGTTCGATTCCACCAGCAGTCACATGTTGAAGTGTCCCTGGGCAAGACATTGAACCCTTCATTGCCTCCGATGTGTGTCCCATCAGTGTAAGAATGTGATAAAGCTCTGATTAGTCTCTACAGATTCAAATTAGCTTTATAGAGATCTAGTAGAGTGCTGTGTGGAGGGCATAGATTGTGTTGTAAAGCAAATGAGTATCTTGAATATATAGAAAGGCTCTATATAAGTACAGTCCATTTACCATTTGTCATTCTTTTCAGAGTTTCCAGACTACACCCTCACTAATCTTTCCCACTTCCTGGTCCACAGTTTCTATGACCTCTACTCTTTTTTTCTCTTTCATTCACTTCATTCGTTAGCTCATCGAAGTACTCCTTCTGTCTTCCTGTCACACTCTCCTCACTTATAAGACAACCAGGCAAAAAGCCAGACAAAAACAACGCAGTAATTAATTCTATGATGGGAGTCTGGAGTTGTATGTGTCCACTACAGCCAGCAGATCTTTCTGATGTGTGCTGATACTTCCTGCCATTAGTCATCAATATCAGAAACTGAATTATTTTCAAGTAAAACTCAACTTTTTGTTATTTTTTGTCTCATGGAAAAACCAAAATAATTAGAAACTGGTTTTCCATTGATGAGTTTACAGAACACCTGTGTGCTTTGAGATTTACTGTGAACACGGAGAATCTATGCTGCCCACCTGGATTTCTAGTTTTGTTCTTAAGCAAGATAAGAAACAGTAGGTTGTAATTTTAGTTTGAACTCCTCAGAGTTGGCCTGCTCCAAGTGATTTGTCCTGACAAGGTGCACAGCATAACAACTCAGACAATAGGAGGGACTTTTGTGAAAACCAAAAACAGACTGATCAGACAACATTTTAACAAGAAACTTACTAAAGGTCTGTTTCTGTGAGTGCTGACAGCTTCCACCTTCAGGTCAAACATCTCCACTTTACAGCCTGGACAGACATGGGGTAAAGATGCATTACCACAAGAAAACAAGAACAAAACAAGTTCCTTTGACTTAGAAGCAGTCTGATGACTCACCATAAGCCACGGGGGTGAGTTTGAGGATGGTGTGCAGGGGACACTTCATGTAGGGGAGGTCGTCTGAGAAAATAAAAACAAAAGAAATGACTGGTGAGACTTGGCTGAGTTATAGAATCATTCAGTCATGTTTTCTCCTAATTATGTTTTTCCTCTCATGCTTGAAAAGCCACACCCATGGACAGCTCTAAAGCTTACGCTGTGGTCATGAACTGAATGGTACATGCTGCTGTGGTTCAGGCCCAGTTGTGGGTGGGAGTGGAGTCAGACGAAATGCCAGTCGTTACAGCGCCCACTCTTTGGTTTCTGCACAAATCTAACTGTGGCTGAGCCTCAAACGGATGATGATGCTGCATCACGGACCACTTCCTGCGACGAGTGAAGAAAGCTTCTGTCTGCACACACCTAATGTCAACTTTCATTTCAAACGGGATTTTCCTCTGTCTGACCTCAACTAATATTCAGGAGCTTTAGAAATAACTTAGGTTTGCAAATAAATATATATTCAGGGGGCAAAAAAAATCCACTTCTCATACAAGAGTTAGAATAAACCAAAACAGACTGTAGAGAAACTGACCAAAATGATCAACATTTTAATTTTACATTATATGTGGGCAAAGAGAATGGTAACACTTAAGATGATGTAATGAAATGAGGTAAGTTATAAACTTCAAAGTGATCCCTTTCACATATTTATCTTAATTTAGCTGCCAATTTACTTTATAGATATTTATTCCTCCTACTAAGTATTTCATCAGCTCCATCTTCACAATTTTTCTCACAGCTGGACAGCAGAGGAGAAGGAGTTTAAGTGATTGTAGCTGCTGATCTGCAGGATGTGGGAAGATTCAGGAAACTCTCGCCGGCCATTCCCTCAAAATTAGTCAAAATATATCAAATTAAACTAAGTGATGACATTATCTTCTCTCATTTTTATCAACAGTCTCAGCTCAGTTACATTTACTGCAGGATGAAGACTAGAGAGGAAGATTTAAGAGTTTCAAACACTTCCTGGCTTAAAATATCCAAATTTGTAACTTAGACGTGTTTTTGAGGGTTCACCTTGTATGTTTACATGACTCAATATAATAAAACACTAACTAATGGACTCATTTTATTGCATCGGTAACAAGGCAGTTTGCATCAGTCTTTAGGAAAATGTGCAAGACACAACAGAAAGAAACTCTAAATTGTCCCTAGGTGTGAGTGAGAGAGTGAATGGTTGGTCGTTTGTCTCTATGTGGCCCTGTGATGGACTTGCGACCCGTCCAGGGTGTACCCCGCTCCTCGCACAGTGATTGCTGGACATGGGCACCGGCGACCCCCGTGACCCAAAATGGAAGAAGCGGGTAAAAGATAATGGATGGATGGACACAACAGAAAGATACGTAGCTGATGCAGATTTACAGAGGGACTAAAAATCAGTCAGGTGGAACAAGTTTAATAAATAAAACTAGACAGCTCATTTTCTCCAGCTAAATCCTTAATCTATCCAAGTGTGTGTGTTTGGGTTAACTTTTGGACTTTAAGAGCAGCTCAGATTAAAAGTTTACTGAAACAATGTCTCCATGTCCTGTTTCTGACAGAAAACTGTGACAGTTACTGAAACAGTTCAAGGCTGCACACACTGGTGTGAGTTTAATATTTCTTTATATTTTAAACAAAATGTTTTCCTTTTCTCCAAAAATACCGCCCTAGATCATGAATTCCTTCATTTGGAGGCCGCCAGGAAAACAAGTTGAGCTGATTGTGAGGAAGAGCATAATATTTCTTTCTGCAGGATAATAAAATGATAACATTAATTTGAAAACTGTGGGCACAACAGCAGGTTAGAGTGTATCATTTCTTCTTGAGATTACCTTGATGAGGGAAAGTGCACGATTCTTCTTTAAAGAACAAAGATTCAAATACTTCAGTGATAAAAAGATGTCAGAAAAAGAAGATCATACGTGCACGGTGACAAGATTAAAGTCATCATATGAGAGGAACATTGGTTGTTTTCACTATTATAATATTTTTTTGTAAAAATATTGAAATATGTGATGCTGCTCTGTTAAATAATACACACCCTGATTTATTAGGGTCACATTTGAATATACTGCACTAACCCTGGAAGTGTTGTTGCAGCAGCCTTGAGCTCAGGGAAAAAAGAAAAACGTTGGCAGACAAAATATCTGCCAGTAAGCCTCCACTTAAATCTGTGCTCAATGCTCGTGTGCTGGAGTTACCTCGAGAACAAGGTTTGCTGAAGTTTGTAACAAAACTAAATATAAACCAGAAACATACAAGCATGTGAGTACTCTGAGTGCTCCAAGTGGACTGTTCTGCTGTTTCTGGGGTTAAAACACGTCTCCTGTCAATAAGATGTGGCGTTTAAAGCACCAAACATCTATCAGTTGGCAGTGTGCAGAAATATCACATTAAAAACAAAACAAACAAGTGCTTTAGACCCTGCTGCACATTCAGGAAGGTTGGATTAGGTGCATACTTTTACTACCAGGTATACAGACGCCATGAGTGATTCTTTGTATGTTTATTTACATGTGAGTTATGAATCCAGATATTTTTACACCTCTCAGAAGAAAAATATGAACTTGGACTCTGTTTTGTTATATGATGTTTAAGTTTTGGGCAGGACTATAACAAAAGGTTTAAAGTGAACAAAAATAAGCAAACAGCTTTAGACCAAGACTTTTGAACACCTACTTCAGTGTGAATGTGTCGTGTGAGGCAGTGTCTTGTTTCTGTGTATGTAACCTGCGCCCTTGTCCAAGAAATATGCGAGCAAACACCGCATGACGGCCTGATGACAGATGACCAGAACGTTGCCCTGTCGCTCCAGCTCCATAATAACTGGCTCCAGACGCTGGACCAAGTCCTGGTAGGACTGGGGAAGGGGAGACAAATACAACATGCATTATAATAGTAGAATATATGCTCAAATAATAATATTAGAAGTTCAAACTTCCTTCAGGAGTCAAGAGTAAAGTCTTACCTCTCCTCCAGGGTAGCGGTAATGATACTTGTCCTGGTCTCTCATTGCAAACTCCTCTGGATAATTTTCCTCGATCATTTTATACGTCATTTCTTCACACACACCCTGAAACACGAACATGTGGCAGTTAGACTTGTGACAGGTCTTTTAGAATCTGTATGAGCCTTTCAGCTGTATATCTGGCCACATACAGCGTCAATTTCATTTAGTATCTTCCACTGCTCGTAGGGGGTGTCCAGCTCCTCTGCAGTCTGGATGGTGCGCTTCAGCTGGCTCGTCCAAACCTTCAGGTCTGACAGCGGGTGCTCTTTCACAAAACCCCTGAGTGCTGCAGCAAACTGTTAAAGACGACATGTGAAAAATGGCCAGTTTGTGAAAATACAGTTAATTTCAATTCAGTTTATTTATATAATGCCAAGTCACATCAGAAGTCATCTCAAGGCACTGAACAGAAACATTCATATATAAAAATAATAATTTAAAACTTTATCTGGGGAGCAGACTGCTTTGAATTTAACTCCATCGCAGAACTCTCATCTTGAGCAAGCATGAAGGCGACAGTGGAAAGGAAAAACTCTCTCATGAGGAAGAAACCTGAACCAGGCTCAGGACAAGGGGTCCTCTGCTTCGACCAACTGGGTTTGAGAGGAACAGATACACAATGGCAGCTCAAGAATCACATTAAGAAAGAAATAGTATCTAGTATTAAAAAAAAAAAAAAAAAAAAAAAAAAAAAAAAAAAAAAAA